GTTCCCGCCCCCCCCCCCCCCCGCCAAAGATACAGGGGGTGGGGAGTGGGTGCGTACAAGTGTGTTAGTCAAGGACTAACGCTTTCTCCAGATTATAAAAAACTAACAATTTTCAGTGACTCAGCTACATGCCAAATAAAAAATATTACATTTATTAAATAAATATATCAATTTTCATATATCTCTATAAAAAATTAAATTCCATTTGATTATACCAACAGAATATCCCTAAGACATTTATTCCTATATCAAGAAGCATTTACCCTATCAAGAAGTTTTACAGCCTACACTCACTTTGTACTTCTTAACAGATAAAATGATGAAATAACATAGGGTTAAAAAAATATATTTTCTTGGGGTATTATATCATTCAAATGTTCATTGTAAACCAGGAGTGTATGTTTAATAGCTTACAGTAATGGAATCCAGCATCTCTCCCCAGTATACTTAAACACATAAAATATTGACTCTGTATTTATATAAAAGACCTTTACTTAATATTAACGTAAATGTTTTCAAGAACTTCTCAAATTACCACGTTTGTTTCTACCGTGCTTTTTGTGAATACAGCTAGCAGGATATTTAACAGCTATTGTTGAACGAGCATATCCCCCTTCTACTCAAAACACGACACTGGCACATATGAGAAGCTCTCCAGGTATTATCCACAGAGAACTTCAAAACAACAGAGTCATCCTGAACATTCTGGGTAACAAGAACATTCACTTTTAGCTTGTGCAAGAATATTGACATAAATTACAGTGGTATAGGATAAAAATTATGGAGAAACGACTGGAGCTCACGAACAATGTAAGCACACTTCAGGTAACCTGTAAAAACAAAATTTGTGAAAGCATGTGCAGATGCAGCAGATACTCCTGTCAGATCAACACACAGTCAGATGTTGGACTGTTAGCGAGTGTTTCCGGTTAGCCCACCCTTCCACATTAAAGCAGCAAAGAAAACAATACACACCAATAGAAAAATCTTGCTGTTTCTAAGATGTCTTAACACTGCAATAAAGTATCAGTGAAGTAGCTTTCATCAAGGAATACAGCTGCTCTTTCAAAATAAGACACACTCTTGTGTGTATATACACCCCTGTACATAGCTACTTACATACACCTACAGGAGACAAAAAGACCAACATAAAATCACATATGTAGGTAATTTCCTACCAAACATATTAAATTATTTCAATAAATTAAGAAACATTATGTAAATTCTTTTCTTTTGAAATTATTGCCTTGAGAGAGTGATGTAAACTTCATGGAATATACTTTTGCACAGCCCCTTCAATGCATTTTATGAATTTTCCTACAATAAATTTTTCAGGGGAAAAAAGCTACCATCACGTAAGTCATTCTCTGCTGTTTTTACAATTCAAAACTTCTAGATGGGAAACATCGTAATTTTTTAAGTACATTAAAATGGTTTTTGCTGACAGAGTATTTGAATATTTACTGGGAACAGGAAAGTAAATGTTAAATGTAAAGACATGATACAAATGAATCTCACTTTTAACAGTCTAAACACTTACCTGAAGATTGGAAAGATACTTTAAACAAGGCTAGCCTATCAACGTATCTTTAGGTTAATTCTGTTTACATGTGAAAGTTAAGATAATTTAAAAAGTCTAGATACTGAAAAATAAAAAGGAAGGCAACGTATCTAGATTTTTATCACTAGCTGGAAGTTAATTTCAATTAAGTCTCTTTGAAATTGCTTTAGATTTTGCAATTTAATTTCCTCAAAACATTGATTATCTTTACAACAAACAATTACTTGATATTTTCATGATGAAATTTACCATGACATATGAACAACCACTCGCTCAATTATCTTCTAAAGATGCGGGTGAAGAATTTCAATAAATCTAGCGTCCTTTGCAATGTGTTGCATTACAAAAGTAACACCCAAGATAAGAGGAGGTCAGGCATCTAGACTCCTACTGCCCAATAATTACTTTATGACCTAAATTTTTGGTGCAGCATAGTAATTTTAATGATTATTTTTCAATTCCAGTATTTTTACTTTTGCCCTTGTTTCCATTCTGAGCATTTTGCTATCTATTTACAGAAACATCCAAAAGCCAAAATAACTGCAAATTTCAATTATCATGAGAAAAACGGTATCTGCTCCAATCTTTCAATGCATTTTTCCTCTTCTGTCCTCCATCTGCCATTCTCAGATTAACAGGCTGATAAACAAAGCCAATTTTTCTACTTGATTCAGCAGCATGACTTGCACATTTTCCTCTTCTGTTCTGCATTCCTGACCTCACCAAAGTTCTGGCGTACAGGTCAAATAAGACCCAGTCACCTGCTTTTTTTTTCTAAAAAGCTGGAAAACCAGTCTGTTCCAAATAGCCCATGCATGCAGGAACTGAGTGAACCACACCTCTGTGCTTGAGAGGGCTTTTTGTGAGTTGCCAAAGTAACTCAGAGAGATGATATTACATTTGGACAGCTGTCCTAGCAGACAGAAAGGCAAAGTCCCTATAAATTCCTAGAGATACCATCCTTAAATTCTTTATATAGTCCTATACGTTAGATGTACATTGGACTACCTCTATATAGTCACTATATAGAGGAAGCAAGCAGGAAGCAACTAGGTACACTTCATTCAGGGTCCTCCTATGAGTCTCCCTCTAAAGAAGTCTCTCTCTCAACAGTTGTGTAGATTGAACCTAGCATCTTCCGGCCATCTGGTCTTTATGAATGTCATGGTATAACAGTCTTCATCACTGTTGGACATGTCTTAGAAGCAGCTGATCAGTATAAAAACAAAACACTTAAGTTTTAGCATCAGAACTATTTACTTACCTTTTCCCACTACAATTACTTTGGTTCAGTCCTCCAACTTGGTTAACTGCAGACCACGCTGTGAGACCTACATATGGTAAGGAGGCAGCTTCCGTGTGACTGAGGCACTTTGGCTTAAAAGACACCTGAAATAAAATCAATCGTATCTAAGTCACACAGCAGATCCTATGTGACACTGAAATATTTAAACAAGCTTTACTGAATTCCAGATTGTGTATTCCACATTTTCAACTATCTTCATAACTAGCTGGAGTCTAAATCAATCCAAGCACCAAGAAACAGACAGTTGCTTAGACACTGAAGAAAAACACCACCCCAGTCTTTACAATTTTGGGGTTTTGTCCATTAGCCACATTTCTGAAGGTTTACCTCGTTTCCACTAGCTACCACAAACTCTGACAGAGTGCCCTGTTTCCACGGAGGAATTGCTGCCCACACCTAAAACCAAACAGAAAACAACTATCAATTTTTGTGACTTTGCACATGATTGTACCTACACAGAAAAGTTCTCTTCATTACAGAAATCTTTTTTCCAATTTGCAGAATGTCTTCACTATTGCTTATCAGAAACCAGTTTTAGCTTACTCTTTACACAAAAAAAATCACAAGACTGACTAAGTGAAGGACTGTAGAGCTATGTAAATAAATTGTACCATACTGTGTATAAGACTTAATTTTTCAAAAACTCCAAACTGCTTCCATGCCAAGAAAGCCCAGATTGGAGGGGATGGGGCAGGAAGGAATCTGAATTTGCTATACTAAAACTGGTGAAATGTGAAAGCAGCTGGTGAAGGTGAAAGCAAACAATATTAGTATTTATGTGGGGACTCATGAAGTGGTGCTTGGGTTATGCCAAAGTTCCAACCCTAAGTTACTCAAGGCAAAAAAAACCCCAACTAACCCCGTCCTGTTAGAATTCTATCTTCAGTCAAAAATGAAGCAGCATCTTGAATGTGCACTTATAAATAAATAAATTCCTCTATTGCTATCACTAAAATGGACCAAAATTAAAAAACAGAAGGGAAATTAACTTGCAGAAGCAAGTCTGGGAAAGACCATGTTTTTCAGAGAGAAAAGGTAGGGAAGAAAGCATTCTAGGAATTTACTGCCAGACAGTCCTCATTCAGAGTGTAACAACATTAAAAAAAAATTTTCTTAAGAGAAAAATGAAAGGTGCACATCTCATAGTATATTTTAACTATACATTTTAGGAAAAAAAGAGATTGATGGTATCACCTCATCTCCAGGTTTGAAATAGGACACACTCAGTCCACATTCCATAACAACACCAGAGACATCTCGACCAAGGGTTAGTGGAAATTCAGTGTCCTCGCTTTTGAGTTTCAGGGGATCCCGCTTCATATTTAATGCGGTTGCACCATAACCACCTGCAAAACATGAAATTAACCATGACATACCGTAGTGAGTTTTCATTTATTAACTGGACAATTCCAATTAGAAAGCATTGTCTGTACCTAATGTGCCACATTTCTGTTATGAATTAAGCATGCAAAAAATCTGCAATAGTTTATACTTTTTCAGACTTTACAAATAAAGAGCAAATCTCATTCTGGCTTATTTGTCCATGAAATGGCTCTCCATTATAAAAATATTTAGTATGTGATAACACTGTCAGAAATTCTAAGTCCACTGGAAATGCTCCATTTTCCAACAGCATCACGTAGCTACAAATCCAAAAGAACTCCTAGCTTTTTTTTGAAGCGTCTGGAGCACAGGTCTTATGAGGAGCAGCTGAGGGAACTGCGGTTGTTTAGCCTGGAGAAGAGGAGGCTGAGGGGAGACCTTATCGCTCTCTACAACTACCTGAAAGGAGGTTGTAGTGAGGTGGGTGTTGGTCTCTTCTACCAAGTAACAAGTGATAGGATGAGAGGTAATGGCTTCAAGTTGCGTCAGGGGAGGTTTACATTGGATATTAGGAAAAATTTCTTCACGGAAAGAGGGGTCAAGCCTTGGAACGGGCTGCCCAGAGAGGTGGTGGAGTCACCATCCCTGGAAGCGTTCAAAAAATGGGTAGAAGTGGCACTTTGGGACATGGTTTAGTCTAGTCTACCCTTGACTGGTTTAGTGTGGACTTGGTAATGTTAGGTTAATGGTTGGACTGGATGATCTTAAAGGTCTTTTCCAACCTAAACGATTCTATGATTCCATTTGTCTTTTCAAATAAAGTACTGTAAAAAGCAACATGAACATCACTGTAAAATATATTAAGGCTCATCTCCCAAGATGAGTAACTTGAACTTCTATTCACTAAGCAATAGCTAAATGCTCTGAACTCTCAGAATTACCCATCTAATAACTCTGCTCAGCCTAAAAAAGGTCTGCATTCGGGCATGTATGCCCTTTCAATCGTTTGCACAAGTCTGCCTGGGTGCCCTATTACGCTAGAAAGTGGTTTAATATTGAAAAGAAAAGAAACAGACAAAAAAGCAGGCACCTCAAAAGCAGGATGAAAACGTAGTTTCTTCCAAGTACTTTTACAGTGGCTCCAAATACTAGTTGCAGCCCACAGTTCAAGTGGGTCATTCAACAGGAATCCCTGGATAGCAAATGTCCCATAATCAAACCCACAACTATACACAAAGATTTTTTAAAAATTCATTTATTAGAGACCCATAACACAAATTACAGCTCTGTCGGCAGGCTTCCGGCAGATATCTCTGCATGTGCTACTGAATCTGATTTGATATGCAAGATCACTTCTCAACATGAAGTATAAGGTCTTCTACTACCACAACTTCCTTCTTGTGTTTTGAACCTTGAAACCGAGGAAAAAATCTGATTAAATGGGTCAAAGAACTGGTCAATGAAAGATATAGATTTCCTAAGCAAGATGACAGCAGGCACCCAGATGCCAATTCAGGAAGAAAGGGCATGACAACAACACGGTTTGGATTAGATCGCACGTGCCGACTTTGCGGTAACTTTGACCTTCAGCCCCATTCACCTCAAAGAGATGGGAGAATCCAGCACCTCTCAGGGGAAATGCTGCTCCTTGGAAGGGCTAGGCCCTTGGTCAAGAGAGTACCACCACCCAGATGGCGGGGACGGGGGAGAAGGCCGGGAAATAAACCCCACCATGGCTATGCTACTAGCAAAAGGAAGCAGACTTGCGAGCTTCAAGCCTGCAGAAGATGGCAATTAGTCACTCAGATTAAAAGCTTACCCCCACAACACGCACACACTATTGTCTTCAGAAGGGCAATGGCTTTTTGTACCGTTCTTCCTGAAGGTACTTGAAAAAAATAAGTTTTGAAGAGGCGGTTTCCCGCAGGGCTCAGGGCAACGCGTGCTTTGAGGCAACCCTCGGCGCTGCCGAGACAGGTGCCTAGCGGGGCAGGCCGGTGACAATGTCTCTACGATTTTGGACGCCGGGGGACGTGTGGAAGCCGCAATCCAAGCACACCCCCTGCCACCACGCCAGCCTGGCCCCGGCCGCTCGGGCCCGGCACTTACTTCTCATGCTAAGGTCGATGGGGTTCAGGCTCGCAGCGTGAACCTTAATGATGACCTCGTTCGGGAAGTGTATGGTGGGGAACACCATGTCCCTGGTGAAGCGCAGCACGTCGTTGCGGCCGTACCGGTCTATGACCCATGAGGGC